GTGCGTGCGTGCGTGCGTGCGTGCGTGCGTGCGTGCGTGCGTGCGTGCGTGCGTGCGTGCGTGCGTGCGTGCGTGCGTGCGTGCGTGCGTGCGTGCGTGCGTGCGTGCGTGCGTGCGTGCGTGCGTGCGTGCGTGCGTGCGTGCGTGCGTGCGTGCGTGCGTGCGTGCGTGCGTGCGTGCGTGCGTGCGTGCGTGCGTGCGTGCGTGCGTGCGTGCGTGCGTGCGTGCGTGCGTGCGTGCGTGCGTGCGTGCGTGCGTGCGTGCGTGCGTGCGTGCGTGCGTGCGTGCGTGCGTGCGTGCGTGCGTGCGTGCGTGCGTGCGTGCGTGCGTGCGTGCGTGCGTGCGTGCGTGCGTGCGTGCGTGCGTGCGTGCGTGCGTGCGTGCGTGCGTGCGTGCGTGCGTGCGTGCGTGCGTGCGTGCGTGCGTGCGTGCGTGCGTGCGTGCGTGCGTGCGTGCGTGCGTGCGTGCGTGCGTGCGTGCGTGCGTGCGTGCGTGCGTGCGTGCGTGCGTGCGTGCGTGCGTGCGTGCGTGCGTGCGTGCGTGCGTGCGTGCGTGCGTGCGTGCGTGCGTGCGTGTGTGTGTGTCACAACAGAGATAAGAACCCCGCGGTTCGTAACTTCCGCCGTATTTAATGACTCCAAATCCTCTCTGTTGTGTGTGCGTGCGTGCGTGCGTGTCCGGCCAACCAAGGCAAGACCGCTAGCGTGTCCTGCCAACTAAGGCAAGACCGGGATGGGAACACTGGTGTATGTGAAGGAATAAAAACATTAATTATTTTATCAAATGTTCAAATTGATGTTCTTCGACAACTTGGCAGTGTCCTAAGCGAATGTAAAACGTATCGATAACGTTAGTCAAAAAATTGGGTGTGATTGAATTTGAAACGTTCACTATTTTTTCCCGCAGCTATACTATTGCGCAGCTGCCTAGTTCTAAATAAAGCCTTCTGATTGGTCGGTCCAAGGAGCCTTTAATTTCTTGCGCAATCGGTTATTACTATTAAAAGAACTAAAATATAGTTAATTTCTAAGTTAAATAACCATATGGAACTAGAACAATAACCAATTAGTAAAATTAATTAATAATGAAAATAAGGGCAAATGGTTAAATAATTGTTCTATATTCCATAGGCATAATGCAGTAATAGATGCGGTACTTAATTATTAGTTGAAATATGGTTTTGAAAAATGACGGGACGTCACAATCGTAAGCAAATTGATCAACCACAGTCGATTATTCCGAGAACATTCGACTGCGATTGGTCAATTTGCTTACGACTAACGACATACGGCTTATTGTAGAACGGGCCTTATTATAAATGTTTAAGAGCCGTTTTAATGCGATACCAAATATTACCAATCAACCACCAATCGATTGACAAAAAGAAAATTTCCAAAAGTCAAAGTGGGAGGGCTAACTTTGAGAAGTTCAATTTCACCAAGTCCGGTTAGATGAACCGACGGTTAAAATTAGCAAGGTGGCCAACAGAAAATAGAGGGGAAGGAAACCCAAGCATTCATATCATTTCAGTTGGAACCTTGCTAATTTTAACCGTCGGTTCATCTAACCTTGGTGAAATTGGCCCTTAACCCAACCCGGTTCAATTAATCACTATATTTTACTATGAATTCAAGCCTTTTATTGGCAGAGACGATGCAATGACGTCATTAATCGCTTTATGTCCGTTTCTACTAGAGACCCTTTATGCTGTGTTCCGATTCCCCACCCGATATTAAAGCAGAGAGAAGCCTGAGAGGGGCCACGTCGCCGTTTTTTCTGTAACGCTTTCTCTAGCCGGTACAGTGGCGCTAACTGGATCCATTTTAGACCATATTTTAATCGCATAAATCTTATCAAACCATTATAATTATTTTCAAATCGATAAAATACAAAATAAAAGTTTTAGTTTTTATTTTATGTTTATGTATTGTAAATAAGGGAAGATCCTCGCTGCTGGAGAGTCGTCGAAAGCGAGAGCGAGAACGAATGAAGAGCAAGCGAGATGACTAACATAAAGAGTTCCGAAGTCTCTCTCGCGAGACTCCTTGGCTGCAAAATAAAAACTTTCTTGAGTCTCTAGAAATTAGCTAATCAGGGTCGGTTGTTCCACCTTCAGATAAACTATGAGGTAATTTATCTAATGGTTAAAAATCTGATTTGCGTTGTTCCACTTTTCGGTAAAATTCATCTCCCTGGTAAATGACCAGTACCAAAAGATAAATTACACGGCACTCTCGGTACCGTGTAAACCACTTATCTGACAGATAAGTATGTGGTGGGGATAGAAAGCACATACAGTGGGAGATGCGCTGGTTAGATTATCCGAAATTTTATCGATTTGTAATATATTAATTATTTACGATAAAGAATTTAAATATCACGATATCAAAAATGAACCGGGTTTGTGCGAAAATCAACTTCTGTATGGTGACGAAAATTATGATGAAGGATCTGATGAAGAAATAATAGTGATGATTCGCAAACGATATACAGTTCGTCCGCGTCCAGATTTATTTAACGAATATGATAATATAGAATTTGTAAAACGGTTTCGGTTTCGCAAATGCACTGTCCAAAAGATTTTAACTCTTAAGAAGCAGGACTGACAGGTAAATATTAAACGTATTTTTTTTAAGGTTATTTTTGTATAATGAAAATCATGCTGTATCACCACTACATCAGCTATTACTTACTTTAAGATTCTATGCAACTGGAACCTTTCAAGTTGCAATTGGTGATTTTGGTGGCATTCACAAATCCACCATGTGCAGGATTATAAAAAAAATTACAGAAGCAATAGCATCTTTACGTCCACAATATATTCATTGTCCTAATTCAAATCAAAGTCTAAGGCACACAAAAGAAAGTTTTTACAACATTGCTCGTTTTCCTAAAGTCATAGGAGCTATTGATTGTACTCATGTTAAAATACAATCGCCAGGTATGTATTAGGTTGAAAATAATAAATAGTAAATCTACAGTATTTCATCCATATTGCTTTTATTTATAGGTGGAGAAGAGGCTGAAGTATACAGAAGTAGAAAAGGGATATTTACTATAAATGTGCAGGCTGTTTGTGACAGCACTTTAAAATTTTTAGATCTTGTAGCACGATGGCCTGATGGCCTGGTTCAACCCATGATTTTTAATGCTAGCAGAATACATGCAAGATTTATTAATGGCGAAATGGGAGATGCACTATTACTTGGTGATAGTGGTTACGCTTGTTCCAATTTTTTATTGACATCACTACTTGAAACGCATACTCAAGCTGAACAATTATATAATGAGTCTCAAATACGAACACGAAATGTCATTGAAAAAAGTTTTGGAGTATGGAAACGAAGATTTGCTGCACTGGCATTTGGTTTAAGAATCAAACCCTTAACTGCACAAGCTGTAATAATGGCTACTGCAGTACTACATAATGTTGCACGAGACGAAGCAGAACCTGATCCTCTAGCCGATTTCGATGTTGAAGCTGCATTAGAGGTATTAGAAATTCAAGAAGTACAATATCATAATGGCATTGATAATGCTAATGTACGACGGTCACTAATTGATACATATTTTGCACGGTAATATATTATTTTCTATACATTTGGGGATAACTATTTTTTTCTGATTAACACAATTTTTGTTTATAGTCTTGTCCGTTGAGGTGTACAATTGGTAAAAATAAATATATTCTGACATCAGGAATGAAATATTTATGTTGTAACATGTTATAAACTATTATAGCATAACCTTAACATCTATTTTATGTAATATATATTAATATAATAAATAAAAAAAGGTTATATATGAATCAATCTGTCTTTGAGCAATATTTTTAATTCAGCTTCCTTTATCTGTTTTTGCAGGACCCTTATTTCTTTTTCAACTGTAGCGGCCTTTAGTCGTTCTTCATTTAATTTCAGATCTGCGAAAAATTGTTTTTCTTTAATCTCCAGTTCTTTCTTTAATATCTTCATTCTTGTTTCGTGAAGTTCTTACTTCATGTCTTGGTCTCGATCTGAGGTTTCATGTGGAATTTGCTGATGCATTTTCTTCAATCTTTTATTAGTGCGTAGTTCTGGCGCTATTGTTTTTCTCAATATAGAAACACCAGTTTCCTTAGTAGTTATACCACCAGTAGTATTTCTTTTCTTCTTACATCCTCTATTATTTTCTTCATTGTCTGACGTTTTAGTTTCTCCATTATTTTCTTTGTTTTCATTATTCATTAAGAAATCTATGTCTATTTCTGTGTCAAGTGATCTTGTAGGGCTATTCTGTTAGATAAAGAATGTGTTGTTCATTATTTTATTTCTGCCTTAAAATATGCGTATTGATACATTTACAATATACATACTATCTCCAGATGTATATTATCAACATGTATATTGTTGTTTGTTCCCGTGGAATTCATCTCTATATCTGCAATTGTTGCATTTTCTTTGCAGGTTTCTGTTGAAATCCCATAAAATATTTTTAAAGCTATCTTAAATAAGATAATATATATCTCATACATAACTCTTATAAAATGATATAAAAGTACCTAATGATTGATCACTATCCCATATAGATGGTAGACCTTCTATGGATGATGGCAGCATCGAAAGGATACTTTCTTCAATACCAGTTAAGGGCCGAATTTCTGGTTTACCTCCACCAGTCTTAAACTGTTCCATTCTATTATGGGCCAATTTCTTTTTGATGCTTTTTTTAATATCCTCATATTTTGCTTTCAATGTTTTTTTAGATCGGAATACTTCGCCAGAACTAGAGTTAAATGCTTTAGCTACCTTTTCCCATGTAGCATCCTTATCTCGCCAAGTTAAAGCATCTGTTTTTTTGCACTCTATTATATTTTTAAATTCTTGTATAATGAGGACCAATAATTCAATTTCTTTATTAGAGAAATTGGAACCTCTTTCTCTCTTTTTTGGTTCGGCCATCTATTTAGCATAAATTATTAAAATGTATAAAAGTTATTATCACCTATAATATATTTATTTGTTATATGTAGATAATTGTTATATCTTACTTGAATTCTATTATTATTTTATATGAATGGGTAATAACACTCCGCCAGAAAATAATAACGGTTAGGATTGTTGATATTACATGCATCCAGTGAGAAGTTATATTATAGTACAGCATGCACCCACTTGAAGTTGCTAATACACGTTTCCGGAAGTAATTATCGTGATATATCTCTCTTAGGCTGCTGGTAACTACCAATAGGATAAATAAACATAACAACGCTCACGTATAAGTAGCTGGTAAACTGCCCGATAAAATTTACCCTGTAGGTAGTAATCTGTCAAGTAAGCTGAGATTTATCGGAAGATGGAACAACCGGCCCTCAATGCGCTTAATAAGTTTGTCGTACGACAAATGTAAAGCCTGCGGCACACGGTACGATTTTTCGTACTGATTTTGTTAATTGATTCGTTGCGTGCTGTTTAGCAAAGTATTCTACATGTTCCAATCATAAGAGTGTTACTAGTTTTGGCTTCACACGTGCAGATTATCTTACGTGTTGGGTTAATATTTTAGTTATAAGATTTCTAGAGATTTCAACCAAATTCTTCAAGACTCTAAAAATCCTGTAGATAATAGCCAATGATTGCTTATCTAGTCAAGATACGATTCAAGATATTTATTATGGAAGAATTAATAAAATTTTTTAAATTTTATTGGGTTAGGAAATCTGTCATTTTTAATTAATTATATACATATTCAATTAATATCACCATAATTATAAATAAAATACATAATTACTTATATATATATCTTTTGTCTTTATATTTACTTTATTATTATTTTTATTTTTTGCGTTTTTGTTGTAATATCCGTCTGCAGCTAGCAACAAAACCATTGTGAAATATAGCACCGAACCTATTACCAAAAACTAGCATGCTAGCACGCACAGCAACACGCAGCACATAATATTTCAAGTTGCATAGCCATTATAATTGCTAGCAAAATGTCTCGCATGCGATCTAGTATGCAAAATCGTACCGTGTGCCGCAGGCTTTAGATTTTAAGCCCTAAGTGCCGGTCTACAATAGGTGATTTAAGCCCTAAGCCTTAGTGCCGGTCCACAATAGATGATTTAAGCCCTAAGCCTTAGTGTCGGTCTACAATAGTGATTTAAGCTCTAAGCCTTAAGAAATTGACCAATCACGATCAAGTATGAGGAGAATACTCGACTGTGATTAGTCAATTTCTTAAGGCTTAGGGCTTAAATCACCTATTGTAG